GCAAACTCCAAGAGTGAAACTCCTGATGGGTTCCTGCTGCCAAAGCCAAAACCACCGTGCACGTCCTCGAAGCCATCGGCCGATTCTCCAATATGGCCATTGAAGTCGCCTCCAATGACGACTTTTTCAGTCAGTGGAAAACCAACAACCACCCCATCCAAGGCGTCCCAAAACTCCTTCTTAACTTCGTCTGCCAGGCCAACATGCGGGGCGTAAGCACTCACGACATTGATCGCACAGCCACCCAAAACCAACTTGATAAACATTAGACGATCACTAATCCTCTTCACCTCCACCACAAACTCCCGCAGCTCCGGCGCCACCAGAATGCCGACTCCATTCCTTCCCCTAGCTGAACCTGAATACCACAATTTGAAACCATCAACCTCTCGCGCCTTAGTGCCCACCCACCTGGTTTCTTGCACGCATGCCACCTGAATCCTTCTCCTCTTGAGAACTTGCACCAACTCAATCGACTTACCCATGAGGGTCCCTATGTTCCACATTGATTATGACATTCTAATAGATACTCCGTATATAGTAGCAATATCAAACAAAATATATTTATATATCAATTTTTCTTTCATTTACTCATAATAGTTTTTATATCAAATATCTAATACTACCTCCGTTTCTCAAAAGAGTTCCTCTTTTGACTTTGGGGGAAAATAAGGAAGTGTTAAATTGTAGTTGACTTTCCAATTTTGCCCTTGATGTGATGTAAAAGTAAGATGTAATTGTTTAGTTGTTAGTGAAAAAGTATGATGTGATAGGTAAGGTATGAAAAAGTAGGGGTAAAAGTGGTTTTTTAATAGAAAGGGGAAGTGTTTTAAGAAAAACAAAAAAAAATGAAAGAGGAAGGGTTTTACGAAACGGAGGGAGTATATTAACTTGTTACTTTTTTAAATAAAATTATTTTTAGAGGAAAAAAAGAAAGAAAGAAAGTAAATCTTTATTTTTCTTTTAAATCCCACGAACCAAACATAGCGTTGAAGATAAAACTTAGATCACTCGCAACGAACCTCTGGCCCTCGCCCCTTTGATACAAGTTTTTTGGTCGGATTAATTGTGTATATCTCACTTCGAGTGGTAGTATGGGAGTTCAGAGCTATAGGGAACTTGACGGAGATGTGTTGGAAATGTTAAATATATTATATATATATTTAGTATTAATTGTGTAATCATTGTATACATGGTAGTTTCCTTGTATAGGATTCCTTCCGTAGTTAGGATTCTCATGTATTATATATACGAGGCTTAGCCCTCCGTAATATACACATAAAATAATAATTCTTCATGGTATCGGAGCCTTTGTCTCTCTCGACCAAACCCTAGCTGCGCCACCTTCTCCTTCGGCCGAACCCTAGTTCCGCCACCCCTCTCCTGCAGCGCCGCACGTCACCGGCAGAAGTGCAGCTCCCATACCTGCAGTCTCTCTCTCTCTGCAGGCGCAGCTCTCTCTCTCTCTCGACAGGCGTAGTTCTCTCTCCTCCGGCAACACCATGTCCGAGAAAACCCCCGTTACCAGCTCGGAAACCTCCTCTCCGACTCCCCACTTGGCTTTCACCACTATTTCCAATGTAAAGCTACATGTGCCGATTCTTCTCAGCTTCTCCGAGCCAAACTACAAGAAGTGGAGTCGGCTTTTCCTCCTCCTCATTCGCCGGTTCTCTTTGGGCGGGTTTCTCACCGGCAAATCGTCACCGTCGAGTGACGATGACGACGAATGGTTCCAACTTGACGCCCTCATTCAAGGATGGATCTTATCTACGGTGAATGATGAAGTGTGTGATCTTGTGCTTTCCACTACCAAATCGGCCTCGGAATTATGGAAGTCTATCTATAATCTCTTTCACGACAATAAAGCGGCCCGGGCTATGCAACTTGAACACCAATTCCGCACCACCACGAAGGGGTCTCTCTCTATGGCCGCCTATTGCCAAACCCTTCGTAACCTAGCGGATTGGTCGGATGATGTGGATGCCACCGTGTCTGAACAACAGCTTGTTCTCCAAGTTCTTCGTGGGTTACCGGATGACCTTCGTGGTCAAACGTCCTTCCTCCAACATCAAACGCCGCCCCCAACTTTTCTCCAAACCCGGTCGGCCCTTCTCCTCCTCGAACAACAACGGGCAGATCTGGGGACTGGCAGGGCCGTGGGGGACAGTGGCACGGCTCTTTATGCCGGCAGTGGTGGTTCTGGCGGTGGTGACTCACGGCGGTACGGCAGCACTGGTGGAGGCCGGGCAGATTCCAGCGGCAGGGGCAGTCCTGGGCAGTCACAGCACAACCGGCAACGCGGGGGACAGCAGAGGGGTCGTGGTCGCGGCTGAAGCTCCGGGTCGAATGCACGGCACACCCACGGGCAGATTACCGGACAGTTCACCAACCCAAACCCTAACCCGGGTCTCCTCGGCCCTCGACCGAATCCCCACCCATACCCACAGGCCTATTTTTCTACACCCTACCTGCATGCCAGTGCACCCTACCCATACCCCAGCCCCTACCCAACAACCCCCCCTCTACCCGACATCCTCACCCACAACTCCCTCAGCCGATGCCAACACCATCACACCCACTGCCCTCGCCCATAATTTTGACACCCTGAGCCTTCGCGATCCAAATTGGTACATGGACACCAGCGCCACACATNTAACCTGGGTCTCCTTGGCCCTCGACCGAATCCCCACCCATACCCACAGGCCTATTTTTCTACACCCTACCCGCACGCTAGTGCACCCTACCCATACCCCAGCCCCTACCCGACAACCCCCCTCTACCCGACATCCTCACCCACAACTCCCTCAGCCGGTGCCAACACCATCACACCCACCGCCCTCGCTCATAATTTTGACACCCTCAGCCTTCGCGATCTAAATTGGTACATAGACATTGGCGCCACACATCATATTGCCTCGGACTCAGGTACTCTTTCTCATGTTCGTAATCATTCTTTAAATTCATCATCATATATCACTGTAGGTAATGGTTCTAAAGTGCGCACTACGGCAACCGGTAATTACAATTTTCCCACTTTTCCCCCCCTCCACTTACAAAACATCCTTGTCTCCCCTCATATAATCCATAACCTTATATCCGTTAGGCAATTTACCCGTGACAACAATTGTTCTATTGAATCCACTGGTTTTTCTGTGAAGGATATGCTGACGGGAATAGTGATTCATCGGTCCAATAATGCGGGCCCTCTCTACCAAATGAGCCTACCAGCCGCCACCCATGCCCAAGCCCAAGCCCACGTTGCCAGTGAAAGTCCAGAGCTCTGGCATCGTCGACTTGGTCACCCAAGTCTGGCCGTTCTCCGTGGAGTCCCTTGTCTCGCGTCTGCTATTTCTTTTAAACATTTACAAAATTCAATCTGTCATGCTTGTCAGTTGGGAAAACATGTTCGTCTCCTGTTTGAGTCATCGAGTCGTATTTCTACTTTTCCTTTCCAGCTTTTACATACTGATTTGTGGCAATCGCCTGTTACTAGTGTTACTGGTTTTAAACATTACATGTTACTCTTAGATGATTATTCTCATTTTTTATGGGTGTTTCCTCTTAGAAGTAAATCTGAAGCTTGTTCCCATCTTCATTCATTTATAGCCTTTGTGAAAAACCAGTTTAACACTACTATTAAAGCTGTGCAATGTGAAAAACCAGTTTAACTCCATGGCCCAAATTTCTCCCCTTCCACCCACCTACCGTAGTGCACTTAAGGATCAAAACTGGTACAATGTTATGTGTGATGAATTTAATGCTTTGATTAAAAATGAAACATGGGAACTAGTGCCTCCCTCCCCCACCCAAAACATTATCACTGGTAAGTGGCTCTTTCGCCACAAATTTGGCCCTATAGGTGAACTGTCTAGGTACAAAGCTCGATGGGTGGTCCGTGGATTTAATCAGCGCTTTGGAATCGACTACGACGAGACTTTCAGGCCGGTTGTCAAACCGGATACGGTACGCATTGTTTTCACTCTAGCACTCAGCAGGGGGTGGCCCATCCACCAGCTCGATGTCAAGAATGCTTTCCTGAATGGCACGCTCCACGAGACTGTCTATGCCAGCCAGCCCTCTGGTTTTCAGGATCCAGCTCGGCCGAATTATGTTTGCAGGTTAAAGAAGGCCCTATATGGCCTTAAACAAGCCCCACGCTCCTGGTACCAGCAATTTGCAGGCTTCCTTCTCACTTTGGGGTTCCGAGGATGCAAGAACGACACATCTCTTTTCGTCTACTCCCGGGGACCTGACATGGCCTATCTTCTCCTTTATGTGGACGACATTGTGCTCACGACTTCCTCCACCACTCTCCTCACATGCCTCACTCAGAAACTTAAGGGGGAGTTCGCCATGACAATTATGGGGGATCTAAATTTTTTCCTTGGCATTGGGGTCCAGCGCACGGCCGGGGGTCTCTTCCTACATCAGACACAGTTTGCCCACGAGATCCTTGAGCGGGCTGACATGCTTCACTGCAAGCCTATCTCCACCCCGGTCGACACCAAGGCAAAGCTGTCTACCACATCCGACACACCACTCCCAAATCCCACTATCTACAGATCTATTGTCGGTGCCCTACAGTACCTGACTTTTACACGCCCTGATCTCACGTATGCTGTACAGCAGCTTTGCCTTCATCTTCATGCACCACGCAGCTCCCATCTCACGGCTATGAAGAGAGTTCTGCGCTACATCCATGGCACAACTACCCATGGCATCACTTTTCACCGCACCGGCACAGACTCCTTACAGGCCTATTCGGATGCGGATTGGGCAGACTGCCCTCACACCCGTCGCTCCACTTCCGGGTATTGTGTTTTCCTTGGAGACAACCTCATTTCTTGGTCCTCCAAGAGACAGGCCACCACATCTCGCTCTAGTGCTGAGGCAGAGTACCGCGCCGTAGCAAATGCGGTAGCAGAGGCTAGTTGGGTCCGAAATCTTCTCCTTGAGCTTCATCAACCTCTCTGGCGACCCACTTTGGTGTTCTGTGACAATGTGAGTGCCGTTTACCTCTCATCTAATCCTGTTCAGCACCAGCGGACAAAGCATGTTGAGGTTGACATTCACTTTGTTAGAGACAAAGTTGCCCTTGGTCATGTTCGGGTCCTACATGTTCCCTCCTCCTCTCAGTATGCAGATATCTTCACCAAAGGGCTCCCATCTCTCCTATTCTCTAACTTCAGACACAGCCTTGGCATTCGACCATCTCCGGTCACGTAGTTGGGTGCATGTTAAATATATTATATATATATTTAGTATTAATTGTGTAATCATTGTATACATGGTAGTTTCCTTGTATAGGATTCCTTCCGTAGTTAGGATTCTCATGTATTATATATACGAGGCTTAGCCCTCCGTAATATACACAGAAAATAATAATTCTTCAGGAAACATGGGAGTTCAGAGCTATGGGGAACCTCTGGCGGCGCACGGCTTGTTGCCGGCGATTTGCTCTTCTTCTTCTCCTTCTTCTTGATTTATGGAGCTCGGAGACGCTCGAAGTCTCCCCAATTCGGTACTTGAACGTATCATAGACTAATAATAGTTTATGAGCATTGTTGACACTATAAATGATGAATATGAATGTTGAATCGTGAATATTGACTATTGAATTCTGAACTGAACATTATGTGCATAATATCCAATGATTTGATTATTAATTGAGATTCAATTTATATGGATGTTCAAAGCATTAGATATGCTTACTCAGCTTCAACGCTGAGCGTGTAGTA